ACCCTGCAGCCTAAAGACTACTAGAAATTTGTGTTGTAACAAATCCATGTATGCTAAAATATACTTCTGATTCTAGAATTTCATCAGACCAGGAAAGACCTTACCTTATCATATGCTACTGTACCCCTTAATTTATATTCAAAGTTCACATAAAACCTGCCAGAGAATCCCCAGAGCTCCAATTTAATTTGACCAAGAATACATGAAAAATGAGGACAAACCACTAGAATAAGGCCTGGAAAAACTCAGAAAAGGCAAAAAAAAAAAAAAAAGCTTTGGTTCTGGCGAGATATGTCATCAAACCGATTGAGAAGTAATATGCAATCACAAGTGCATTTGGAATTATTTAATTTGTAAAGTTAATTTCCAGTGGTGTAATTCCTAGTAAGAGATTCTTAACATTTCTGTGTCTAATTTTCTCATCTATTAATTGACTATAATACAACACCTACATTACCAGAGTTTTGTGAAGACCTGTGAGCTAAAATTCATGTTAAGAACAATCTCTGGCAGAGACAAGCCAAGTAGGACAGACAAGAGTATAAAAGACTATTTAGTCGAGAGCCATGACTCACCCTCCCAAGTTACTCTCTTATTCCAGCTTCTACTGACTTGCAAAAATATATTCCAGTTACATAATAATCAAGAGCAAAAGTAACTGGAAACTGGATCTTTTGTTTTCTTGCTTAATTTGAGATACATTGATGCTCCATTTTCAAAGTTTTCCTCAAAGTACTTATATATTTTACAAATAGAAAATAAGTATAAGTGAAATATTTATAAGCAAGTCAAAAGTTGTGTTTATTTCATTTTAACAGTCTTGAACTTTAATAACTCTAATGTTGTAGAGGCAAGGCAGGAATGTTATTGTTTTCCCAATGAAGAGCAGTATCCAGCTTCCTCAAAATAAATTTTGTTGATCAGGGAGAGAGAAAGGTACCAGGAGACAGCTGAAAAAAAAGTATCTAACTGAAAACCCTCAAGGAACTCTTATGTCCTCAGTGGTATTCGGGAAAGGTAGTTAGTAGGTTCTTAATAATTGCCTCTACCATATTTGCCGTCTGGAAGAACGATCACCATTGATGACTAAGGGCTGAGAAATAAGGTTTTTAACTGAAGAAATAAAGAAATAGTAAAGTCAATTCTCTTAAAGTTGTATGTAAAGAGGAAAATCCAGAATCTATAAAAAATACAAGGCTTCTTGCTTTTAGGGACCTCTACAACAAAATAAAGGGAATGTATCTGAAAGGAGGAAACTTTGATTAAAAATTAGCTGGCAAAGAGCAAGAGCTTTGACAAAGCATAAAATAGTTTTGAATTTTGTGCTCTTAGAAAAGTTTGCTTAATTTCTTAAAGGAATAAGCACTGTAACCGGGAGGTTTTAGAGTGCTAAGAAGGTTACATAAAATGAAACTTACTATTCAAAAGAATATTTACTGTGCTTCCACTAAATAAATATACATCAGATGAGGGACTACACTTTATTCACCATTAAAACCCTACATCTGAGAGCCTAGCATTTATTAGTCACACAAGAAACACGTACAAATGTAGCTGATGGTGTTCTATACAAGATAACAGGGTAGGATACACACACACACACACACACACACACACACCTATATATAAAACACATCTGTGTTGTGTATAAATCACTCAATGTGAATTTAATCAGCAACTTTCTTGCACCTCCCAGCCACTAATTCTGTGAGATATGGGGAGTAGGTGCAAATACTTTGGAATCATGCTACTTCACAGAAGTGACCTCTTCAGCCATCCTGATGTAGCACAGGAGTGACAGGGACGCAGAGGGGTGTCATAGTGACATAGTTCTATTGACTGACCAATAAATTCACAACATCTTCAATGAGAAAAAGGATGATATCAAGTATAAAATATAGTAGAGTGTGTTTATCTCTATGGGCCTGTATATATACAAGGAGAAAGGGATAACATCACTGAGTCAGTTCTTAAATTATCTTGCTGTTTTGTGGTACTTGAAGTTATGTTTTGTTCAAATTATAATTATATAGTTCAAATAGTATAATTATTTTACTTCTACATCATATTTCTTTTTCTCTTTTTATAGACCACCGCATTATATAATTCATGTTCCAGTGTGCACATATTGAGAAGCAAGTGTATATAATACATAAAGTTTCACACTAAAATTCCAGCTCTATCCTTCCCCATACCAGTGTCTTCTTTTTCACAATTTACCTACTTTCTTTCCCTCTGGTAACTACCAAGTGGTCATATAACACAAATGTTTTTTTTGTTGTTGTTGTTTGTTTGTTTGTTTGAATTAGTTAACCTGTTTGTTAATTTTCTTTATTATATATCACACATGGCATTTTCTGTCTGGTTTGCTTCATTGAGAATAATTTCCTCTAAATCCATCCATGTTGTGGCAGGTGGCAGGATTTCAGCTTTCTTTATTACTAAAGAGTATTTCATGTGTCTATAGACCACATCTTCATCCATTTGCCAGTTCTCAAGTACTTAGGTTTCTTTCAGTTGTTTACCATTTTAAATAATGCTGCAATAAACATAGAGTTGCATTTATGCCTTGAATTAGTGTTTTTGCTTTTGGGAGATAATTATCCAGAATTGGGGTAACTGGACCCTGTGAAATTTATGTTTTTAAACACTCTGAGAAATCTTTCCTGCTTTCCATAAAGGCTTCACCAATTTACAATCCCTCTAACTGTGTCTAAGTGTTGGGGGAAACAACAGTTGGAATCAATAGGGCCTTGTCCAGGATATCATGTACAGAGCTCTTTCCCATGCAGTTGGGTATCTTTTCATTTTGATCCAAGTTTCCTTTGCCACCCAAAACCCTTAGTGTGATGTCCCCTTTGCTTGTTTTTGCATTTTTTTCTTTGCCATTGATCTTGAGTTCCTAAACTTATCTCTCAGGTTGATATCAAGGAAGATAGTGCCTATGTCTTCAAGTATTCTATGAAAGCCTTCAAGCTGGAATGCTTAACTTTTATAAAATAAAGGAAAACTTCATTTTTATTCCATGAAAGTAGAGTCATACAGCAAATAAGCATTGACGCAGTCCATTATTCACAGCACGATCTTCATTTTGTTAGCTGTGAATGAGTCCCATCAGTCGAGTTCCCCAGACTATTGACTGAAAGGTAGGTCAAATACCACCAGCCTCCTAATTTTGAACACACCTATGTATATTTAAATAAATTTTTATAAGGATTTCTGTGGTTTTCCATTTATGTGTTTTTTGTTGCCCTCTATCCAAGTGCTCCAATGCAAAATTATGCACACATGACCAAAGTCCATGAGAACAGTAATTATACTCCATCCACCTTTTTTACAAATAGCCTCTGTCCTCCAACTTCCCTCCCAAGGGCAGGAGCCCTCATTTGGTTAATATCCTTTGTTTTATAATAATTTATGTCTGTGAATTTGAGTAATTTTCTCTCATTTTCCTCATTTTCTATGTTTTAATTATCCATTGAATGTGATCAGAGATTTTTATGAAAAGGCACCATTTCGGGTACTATGGAATACTGATATCATTAATGGAAAGACATAAGAATCTTTTCTTCTAGGTGAAGAACCAAAACACCTATGTACCCCAAGTGTGGTATAAAGCACAAGTCAGAAGAGACAGATATGAACAGTGGGGTGGACACAAAACATAGAAGGAAGATGAGTTTGAGATCTTAGTGGAGCATCCAAGAAAGTAAGAAAGCAATGAGGGACTCAAATTGGTGTGTGTGTGTGTGTGTGTTTGAGAGAGAGAGAGAGTTGATAGGGTGATGGGGAGGGTTGATTGGAAAGAAAAGAAATATATTTGAGAGAAATCATTCAAACTTTCAGGTTAGATAAGATTAGATCAGTTATTCTCAATTATTGCATTGTTGAAAGTTTTAGCCAGATTATTCAGTGTTGTGGGTATTTACTCTTGTAGGACCTTGAACAGAGTCCCTCAACTCTCAACTCTCTAGCTATCAAGAGATATGTGTCATGCTGTAATGACTGAAAATGTCTTCAGAAAGTCCCAAATGTCCCCAGTGTGTAAAAACAGGCCTTGATTAAGAATTGGAAAGACAGGAAGATGAGCTGAAAAATGAAAAGAAGTTTGTAAAGATATAATTTGGTAAAGTAAGTGTAAGGTATAAAAGAAGGAAGAGAAAAGCAAAAAAGGACACAGAGAAGAGACATTCATAAGGCAAGAAATATTATTCTAGAACTTTGGGCAAAAGAAAGAACTTTGGTTTGTGGACAAAGTTTATCATGATGTATCTTAGTAAGCACATCCCACAGTCACACAGTGCCTATAGGTCTCCTCATAAAGTTTACCCTCAGATCAAAAGTACATATTGAGAGAAAGAATATACTTCTATTGAATAAGATATTTCCACTGAATAAGATAGTTTTATTTTATTTTGGTACTGCAAACGTCACATGAGTTCTTTCTGAAATGAAGTTTAAATCAAAACCAATAAAATTGGGAGGAACTACAACTCCTAGCTATCTTCTCCCCTTCCATGTCATTTGCATGCTCCATAATTCCAGCTTCCAGAGTTCTCAAGATTTCTCCCAGTTCCCTAGGTATTACAGTAACATGAAGGAAAATTGAGATAAACTCACTCATACATAGCTATCAATGAGTGTAAAGACCAAGTGTATCTCCTGATGCTTACAAGAATAAAAGGAGAAGATCCCTATTTAATCTAAGCAAAAGGAGTAAAATAAACTTTTAATTTTGAATTTAGAAATCAGCAAAACCTTGACAGAGAGTGAGAGAGAGAATTTCTTTTGATTTGATATCCTTCCTCAGAACCACAGAACTACAGAAATTGACCGCTTTGATAGCTTCCAGGTACTCAGAAGGTAGATCTATTGTTCCTTTGTAGATGTCTCAGACAACCTGAAGAATCTCCTTATCTAGTCAACCAATGCCCTTGCCTTTGAAAGAAATCACATAAATTCCCTGCCAGGAAAGAATCCTAGAGGACAGAGACAACTGCCTAAGCATGTGTAGGAAGCAAGCTTAGTGTGGAAGAGTCAGGGCGAAAGATCATCCCTGTGACAATCAATCTCAATGCCTTGCGGAACCAAGGATAAAACATGCCATATATAATGGGATTAAAAGTGGAGTTGAAGTAACCCAGCCAAAGGAAGGTATTGTACAAATCTTCAGGAGTTGTAAAATTGATGAAAGGGTCTGTGATGGTCAAGACAAAAAAGGGCAACCAGCATATCACAAACACCCCCATGACTATACTTAAAGTCTTGGTGGCTTTGCTTTCTTTTTTGGAGGAAGCCTTCATTTTGCTTTCTGACCCAACTTGTTTGACCTTAGAACCTGTGCTGATTTGCTTTGCATGCTTCCTGGCCACTGTGAAAATGTGTATGTAAATCCCCACCATTACAGTCCCGGGGAGAAAGAAGGCTATCAGGGAAGCCAGCACCCCCCAGAGCTTGTTGAATATCAACACACACAAACCTGTGCAGTCAATAGCTGCCACAAAATCTTCTGCACCAATTAAGTTTAATTCTGAGAATACCAGGCCAAAGGCAAAAATGATGGGTACAGACCAACTGATGAACAGGAAGACCTCTATGGTGGGGATGGTGATCTTGGTGACATAATGCAAAGGGTCACACACGGCGTAGTAGCGGTCCACTGAGATGAAGCAGAGGTGGAAGATGGAGGTGGTGCAGAGCATGATGTCACAGCAGCTGTGGATTTTGCAGAAGAGGTCTCCAAAGTACCAGCAGGACTCGATGGACCTGATCATACTGAAGGGCATGACTACACAGCTCAATAGAAAGTCGGTGGTGGCCATGGAAAGGATGAGGTAGTTGGTGGGGGAGTGGAGCTGTTTAAAGTGGGCGATGGAAATGATCACGACCATGTTGCCCAGCATGGTCATCACTATGGCCCCCACCATGATGGTGTACATGGCACACACACTCAGCACTGATCTCACGTTTCTAGGGCACGAAGTGTTAACCAAAGCAAAACAATATTGTACTTCTGGGGGGCTCCAAAGATCAGGAGAATTCATTGTCTGTGCCTGTGTGCACTATGAAAGTGTATCAAAAGTACTGTGTTCTTTCTGTGAAATAAGAGGAAAAATAAAAGTCATTGGCAGGGGGCTTTACAGGGAGGCCAGGCAGCCTGAATTTCCCATCCCAGTTGGAATTCCCTGCTGCTCAGATGCTGAACAAAGCTGAGAGTCTGTGTTTCTCAGCAGCTCCCAGGAGCTATCAGTTAGTTTAAGGCCCGTCCATTAACCAGGAAAAGACTAAAGACAACAGAATGAATATTCAGTCACCCAACATCTAAGTAACCCAGTTAACAACATCTAAGTTTCCCGAGTAAACGTGTATTTGGATTGCACTAACCTACAGTCCTTCCACAAGTTTCCAAATCCATATGCAAACCAAGAATTTCCCTGACTATTTAAATTAATCAATTTGCTTGTGCTATGAAACTATTATGTTTAAAGAATAACTCCAATCTGAAGACTGCGTTGTTTTATAGTTTTTGATTATATGTAAATGCATTTTCACATGCCACTTACTGCTTACAATTCAAGTGAGAAGACATTTTTCTTTCCATGGTGAACATAGTTTTTAGAATTTGGAGCAACATATTAGTAAACTGAAAATATGCTAAGGTCTATAAGGTTATAAATAAATAATCTCAAAAAGGAGGTGGAAATACTTCCAAGTATAGATTCTGTAGATCTCATAGTTTCTTTCTTGTCACTTGGTAGCTGAATTCACATATACAAATGCAGAGGGAGTTTGTCTTGTCCACAGATTTTGATCATATTGATTACAAATTGGACATACAGAGTTGTTCATTCTTTAAGCTGTCATTTCATATAATTTATGTGGTTGCCCTTAAAAATGTGATAATAATGGGAATGACTCACACAGCATATGACAAGTGTGTAATTTGTTTTTCCATTTCCAAGTCTGAATATGTAACTGATGACCAATGACAAGCGTTCGTTAGCTCTAAGGGCAGGTTGGAGAAGTGGACTTTGGCCTGAGAATAGATTAACACTCACTGGTCCATTGGGAAACGGAAGCCACAAACATGTTCTCACCAGATTTACTTGTAAAAGAGATTAATGAGAGTACAAGCACCTTTTAAAATAATATTTACAGTATTTGATACTCTAGTTCAACTTTTTTTTTCTAATATATATCATTTGAAATTTCATATTATGGCATATTTTATTTTCTCTGGATATTAGAAATTTAATTTCTCAGATTAGCATTTTTCCTTAGATATTTTTGAGTTAAACAATTCAATCAACTATTATGCAACTGAGTTGAACTTGAGAAACCAAAACAGGAAAGTAAAATGTATTAAAAGCAAGTATCCTTCAGCTCCTATATACATTGTAGACTGTTTTGGAACACAGCACAAGTTATTTGATTACTTCTCACTTTGATTCTTAAATTCTAAGACACTGCATATAATGATATTTTAATAATCTAATGAATTTCTTTAATAAATTCAATTGATTCTACTTTATTTTCTTTACTCTGATGAATTTAAAAAAACTAATGAAAAATTACTTTCTTTAACACTAGCTAACAATTACCCTCCAAACACTGATGTATTTGAAACTACATATTTATATATTTTGTAAACTTAAGCCAAGATAGCACACTCTTCAACTATTATGGTACAATATTTGAAGCTTTATATTTCACTTTTTGAAAATCTAATAGCAGAAATTAATTTTCTAATTGTAAAAGGAATTTCATTGTTTAATAATTATTTGTAAATGGTGTAAAACGGTTGCTAAAAATTAGTAGTATTAATTAGTGCATGGTTACACATATTAGGGATTTAAACATTTAAGTACCAGATTACGATACAAGCATATAGCAAATGTGCATTTCTACTAAAGATTTTATATGAACTAACTGCTCAGTGAAACCCTTACTTTAAATTCTTGCCCAAACATTAACAATCAGGAAATCAAATATGTGTTCTGGGTTATTACTTTGTTAATAAGAAAAGAAAGGTGTCATAAAATGAAACAGAGGCAGGGTTTTTGTTTCTTACTGAAAAACTTAACAGAATATTCATTTCCTTTGAAAATTCTTCTCCAAAAAAAGATCCAGTAATATTTTAATAAAATAAAGTCAATTCCTCTATGACATCTCATGTTTATCATAAGATCATGTTGTTATGACATTATTTTTCTTTTTTATCAGTAATCATTTTAACAAATGACCAAATTAATGACAGCATCCCAAACAAAAGCAAAGCAAACTGTCCATTATTTTGCCAGGAAGTAAAAAGAAATACTGGCAATTCTGGACAAAAGCAAGAATTGCATTACCTTTCAGTTCAAAGCTAGTTCTTAAAGGAGAAAGATAACAGAATATGAAAAGAGACAAAAGTTTTGAAATGATGATTTTGAAAATATAAATGCTCCTCAGAATTTTGAGAAAAAAAATTAAAAAGAAGCTATGTGATCATTTTCCTCCACAGAAATGATCAAATTATTTTCATAGACCACTATATTAAGTTTCATTCTATCAACATGCAAAAAAAAAAATCTGATTTTTTTCCACTTTAGTAATATACGCTTTAGTTTTCTAGAATTTGTTTGATTCGGCAATTTAGAGCTAAAGTCTTTGGAAGGTGACTTTTCTTTTGTGCCAAGATTTCTTACCAAGCAAGCATGCAGCATGCCCCATTGCTCACCTCCCCACTGATTTGTCTCCAGAAAAGAAACTTATGAACAATCTCTTAAACGCAGGCTTTTAGCAGGCTGCACCACCACCAGCATTTATACACAAAACCTGCCTCTTGAGGTTGAATTACCTGCATCCTGTTTTTGACAGGTGTGTCCTTTAACAACTTTGTGCTGTTATAGCAAGTCACCTGAGAATTGGCTCTGGGAGGTGAATCAGTTTTCTACTATGGTCTCGATGACTTCAGAGGGACAATGTGGGACAGCCTCACACAATAGGAAAGATGGAAAAGAATGAAAAGATGAAAGAAATTCAGGTAGGGAGGGAAGAGTGTGAAGGAGGAAGAGAGGAAGGGTGAAGGAAGGAGAAAATTTGTTCAAATCCAACATACTCATTCCACTCACCACGAAATTCTTTTTCTTTTCATTGAAATAACACTGGTTTGCAACAGTTGTATATGATTCGGTGGTTTAGCATCACCTACTTTCGTGTTGGCACACCATCAAACACCCATGAGGCTCCACCATAGCTCCCTCCCACTTTGTGCTCTCCTCTCTCTCCATCACACCCTCTTGTAGCCTTAATTTTGCATTTAGTTTTCTAGGCTTGGCTTTATTGATCTGGCTCTGTCTGGCCCTTTGTTTGCTACTCTACATTACACATATAAGTCATAGCATATGTTATTTGACTTTCTCCTATTGATTCAGTTCAGTTAGCATAATATCTTCCAGTTCCATTACTGTTGTTATCAAAAGGCAAGAATTTATTGTTTATAGCTGAATAGTATTCCATTGTGTATATATATACTACATCTTCTCAATCCACTTATCTGGATTGGAGCACTTAGATTATTTCCATAATTTGGGTAGTATAAATAGGACTTCAATAACCACAGGAGTACATATATCCCTCTGAATTAATTCCTTTGTATTCTTTGGGTAGATACTTCTGAGTGGATTTGCTGAGTCATTATGGTAACCTCATCATTAATATTTTGAGAAACCCGCATACTGTTTTCCATAGGGAGTAGAGCTGTTTACCTCCCCTGCAACTCCCTACAAGGATTCCTTTGTGTAGACATTATTGCCAACATTAATTTCTGGTTTTTGATCTGAGACATTTCTATAGGTCTGAAATGGTATCTTGTGGTTTTGATGTGCTTTTTCCTGCTAGGTGATGATGAACATTTTTCATGTGGCTACTAGCCATCTTTATATCTTCTTTAGAGAAGTGCCTGTTTAAATTCTTTGTCCATTTTTCAATTAGGTTATTTCTTTCCTTTCTGGCAAGTCATATCAGTTCTTTGTAGATCTTGACTATTAGTCCCTTGTCCTATGATGTCAAATATTTTCTTCCATTCAATATGGTGTTTGTCTGGATTAGTAAGTAAGGATTTTGTTAGTTAAATAAACTATGATATTTAAGGATTTTGTTAAATAGTAAGGATTTTGTGAAGTAAATAAACTATGATATTTCTAAATCATGGAGCATTCTACAGACTTTTCAAAAAAAAAAATCAGGCATCTGTAACTTTCTTAAAATGGAATCAGATTTAATACTAAGAGCAACAGCCATGATGCAGAACAACCTGAATGTTATATTGCCAGTTCTTTTTTTTTTTTTTGAGAGAGAGTGGCACATACATATATAATAATATGTGGCTATACTTAGACAACACTAGAAAGTCACATAAGAAAGTGTTTATCTTTAGAAAGAAGCCTGAAAAAACTAAAGTCAGTGATCAGAGGAAGACATTTTTAATGTTTAGACTTCAGTTCCTGTTGAATTTTCTCTCTCTCTCTCTCTCTCTCTCTCTCTCTTTTTTTAACCATGAATATGTTTCCGTTTTAAAATGATAAAATTTTTCCTAAACAATTTTTTCTTTATTTTTGCTATTTAACTTAATCTAATTAAAACTATTTGACCTATAAGTAGGGTCTAAGGAATTCTTATGTTTGTTCCCCAAACCTCTGATTTATATACAGAAATGATGAAGAAAGTCCAGATCATAGTATTAGTATAGTTTGTGTCCGGCTTAAAAATAATCTTTACAGGCCCTCCCTGGTGGCGCAGCGGGTTAAAGCACAGCACTGAGAATCTAAAGCCACTTCCGCATGAGTTCGATTCCTGCCTGCCCCGGAGGTGACCACATGGTGTGGCAGACCTCTCCTGACCCGCCCGCTGCTCCCCTTAGCAGTGTACTTCGTGGATCTGCCTGTTCTGCTCCCCACTCTGTCTCTGGTGAAGCCTCTCGCCGCCCCTGAGCCCCTGGCCTGTACCCCAGTTCTGTATGCACAAATAAATATAAATCTTAAAAAAAAAAAAGTAATCTTTA